TGTTTACTACTACAGCAGTGTACTTTTAGGGAACACAAAAACAACTTCACGGCAAATCCAAAAGGGGTCTAAAATAGCAGATCAGAAGGTCATGTGATTCCTGAGACTTTGATATATGGGGCTGTCAGTTCAGGATGGGGGTTAACTGTGCCATCCACTTCTGACCAGAGGTAAACACGCCCACACTTTGCTTTAGGAAGACGCTGGGGTTAAATCCTTCCATACACTGTCAAAATCAAGCCTACATTATCAACCCCATCGTGTTTCAGCTGACAGAAAACGTATTGCAGCTGCTGAATGCCCATCTCAGGCCCGTTTGCAACGTCAATAAGAGCCTGACTTGTTGAGGAATGCATAAAAATCACATGTAATCATCCCAACTTCCCGTAACTTTCTCTAACATCTGTCCCAATCATAAGGTGCCTTATAATCGTAAATAAGGAGCAAGACGTGGGTTTAGATGCACAGAAGCGTATTTGAAGGTAGGAAGGAAGAAAAACAAAGTACATCGATTCTTCTAGTCAGAAAACGTGTCTGTTTTCATGCGACACCGTCCTATGGCTCGTGTTTGTTTCAATCGGCTACTTTGAGGCAGAGAGCTTCAAATCGCGCAGTGGTTCATGCACTGCGATTTGCTGATGTAGCGATTGTTGTTTCCACCACAACCGCGGAAGAGGAAAAATAGGCAAGAATTGCTCTCCTCACTGTAGTAATATCTCGAAAGTTGTGGTTTCTGATCGCAGTTTCCGTGATCTAGAGGTTCGGTACACTCTGGGGGCAGGATACGTCTTTCGACCCCTACGTAAAGACAAAAGAGGCAGCAGGGGTGCATTAAAGTCTACAGAACACAATCATTTCACTGCAAAAAACGTGAGTTGGTTCCTCACTGTTACATATGCATATAGAATATGCAAAGTGCAGCATAATGACCGAAATTTAGAAATCCATCATAGGCGACTTCAACGCATCAATTTTTTTGTCCAAAGCAGTTCGGCAAATATCCTTTATAAAGACTAAATATGATTATGAATACCTGATCTGTCAAAATGTTTACCAATTTGAGCGGAAATCTATGGTAACTTGAATTCTAGTGGATTCCTATGCCAATAGCAATCTTAGACTAAGGTTACGTATTCACACTTGTCTTTTTTATTTGAGAAGTGAGTAATTAACGCGCGTGAATTCTACTATGCGGAATTTGCCGCAATCGGAAATAATCAATTCTTTTCTCCACGTTATTTAAATGAAGAAAGGTGCAAGAAATCAGAGGATGGTTTAAATTGATCTCTGTCATATTCTTCGCCAAATGTTGTTTTAGACGACAAGATTTCGTTTTTTGCGGAGGTACCACTATGACCCAAACGGCCGTCTCCAGTAGAAAGTGTGTCTATGGCCACAATACTTCGGTAAATGCTTTCAAAATGTTTGCTGTTTTGAAGGTTTTGATGAGCATGCATAACAGAATATATATTTATGGGCAATCGATTCAAAACGCTGAAAATTGTGAAATATTCGCCAGTATTTCAAGTAAAATAGGCAAATCGTCGTATTCTAACACCAGGAAAACCTCTCAGAAAAATTTACTGGTATTAAATGTTTCTTAATGTGCACGAAATGCCCTGTTTACGATTGCACCTGACAGCTCTATTCAAATTTATTAGTTTGTGATAGGCTTGTCCATAGGTGACCTTATGAATAAATGCATTCTTGTGGCGTCTCTACCATCTAAATCAAGAGTAAATGTGGTTGCCTTAGCCAGTCGCGACCCGACAAATGGAAAACGAAAATCTCCGTTAATTCCTTTGAAACTATATTACGGTCTATACTAGAAGTGAAGATTACCTATTAAAAAGGTAGTCCTATATATAACTCTGTGGAGACATTATTGCCGGCAAAGACAAAGGAGACTGCGAATACAAAAGAACATGCAAGTCCCAGGAAGTAATTGAGAAAAAGAAGCAGAAGAAGCGATCGCTGGGACGAGTTTTTTCTTCGACTGACGTTTCGACATCCGTCGCAGATTCTTCATTAGAGACATCAGCAGAAAAGGGTAGCATTGAGAATAGTAGTTTCTGCGCATGGCTCTGACGAGGAATCAGCGACGGATATCGAAACGTCAGGCGAATAAAAGCGTTGTCCCAGTGATCGAATCTTATTCTTGCCAATTTCTTCCTGGAACTCGCATGTTCGCTTGTATTGGCGTGTTGCTTTTGTCTAAATAGAATCACAATTTATTTTCGTTCGCTTCTCGATTACGTTCTCAGCCTGAAGCATGCAATAACGGCCCTTACTTTGTTTTCTCCCCAAACAAGTCAGCTCAATTTTTCGGCATAAATTTTACTTCATTTCGATAACATGATTGACTAACTTACTTGGCGGGAAGATAGAACGACGAGCGGTTTGACAGACGGGCTGATTGGGCGGGCAGAAACTGTCGACATCCTTGCCGTGGTTCTTCATGTAAGTTCTGCAGCTGTCATCTCCCATGAGGACACAGCGGGAATGTCGGTAATTGCATTCTACTGACTACAAGGTAGTAGAAAATACATTTGAATGAAAGATTGCTAATAAGGGGTCTCGCCGTGAACTAAAAGCCAAGGTAAGATCTCGCTGCACTCTGGATATTCCGAGGGATTTTGTGAAACCTTTACACTTGTGGTGTCATTTTTTGGGTTATATCTCTGACCAGAGCGTTTTCTAGATCATTCCCGGTGGCCCAATGACGGTGGCCATGACGGTTAAACACAACGGAGAAACTTAGTTCCATAATATTTACGCACATATATGACGCGATGTAGCTTAACAACCAATCTGCCACAACATGCACCTATTTCATAGATTTAGCACCAGAGATGCAAGGAATTAATAGAGTTTACAGAGAGGCAAGAGAATGTTAAGCGGT